ATGGTTTTCTGCCTGCAGCACTAAGCTGAGTCATGTCATACACAATTGAGCTCGAAGGTATAATGTATACAACAAGGAGAGACATACAGATAGGTCTACTCAGCACTCAATCAGGACAGCATTTCTTTTTATTGCTTCATTTTGGGATCCAGCTAAGATTGTCCTATGTTTTAAGTTGTAATGACAATGTTCCTGAATATTAAAGATGGTAGTGGGATGAGGAACTTTACCTCTGGAACATTAGATAAAAATGCAGAATATTTGAGACAGAAGAAAGTAGTCTCGTTAGTGACAAACACCACATTATCTTGTCATCTTTTAATCTGACTGGGAACTGCTATTTAGATGCCAAGCAGCTTGTACATGGAGACTGAAGTTCCTTGTACATATACTTGGAAGTAAAGTGCAAAGGAGGGCACATTGATCCAATGGAGATAGGTTTCCAAGCTTGCATTGGAATGAGCCACTCAAAAATTCTATCAGTTTAGAACATTTAAAACAATCCACTACGACTTGTTTTTCCTTTGAAATGTGTTAGATGAGTACCACTGAATTCTAACTAACACTTTTGTGATGGTACTGTTATTACTGCTGTGTTGTTTTGCAAAGACAAAAAAAGGAGTCTTTGTCACTAGTGATAGTAGCTGATGCACTGCTTGACTTCAGTCATGGAATTGATGCACTGTTTGACTTCAGTCATGGAATTATTTGATCATTCAAATATTATCCCTGTGTTTGAGAGAGTTTCTCTGAATCTATTTATATTTCTTATGCCAATTTGCTATAAAAACTGAACTGAGAAATGACTTGTATGTTTTATTTTTCTATCACGGATAAAATATTAAACTTTTTAATGGAGGAGAATTTCCACTAAAATAGAGAAGTTTTTGCTGTTGTATAGAAGCTAGTTTTTTTTTTAAAGGTAGTGATGCATCTGTGTAGTGTTAGAGGTACCAGGTAAGTAAGTAGGGGACTTATTATAACCCACTATCCTTGCAATTGGCACTATGGTGTCTGTGGATATAAATGTACCTGAGGATACTTCGGCTGTAACCATAAGGCTCCATGCTGCAGCTAATGTATTTTTTTATTTATTTATTTTTTTACAATTATGTTGTCAGGGAATCACAGTTAAAAGAGAAGTCATCAACCATTTTGTTATTTCATCAGCCACTCTTGAAGGCTAGTTTTCATGGAAAGCAAAGCTAAAAGCTAAGCAGCAAATGGGCCTGTGCAGCAAACATCTGCTTGTGAGATTTTCTGTCAAGAGTAGATCTCTAGTTTCAACACAAAGCCTGCTGGGAGTTTTCTGAGTTTGGTAGCGAGCATCTTCAGCCTCTGAAACCATTTTGGGCAGACACTCTGAAATAAATATTTTTCATTTGTTATCACTGGCCATATTTTGGCCAGAAGTTAGGGTAGCCAATTCTCAGTATAACATAAGAAGAATGTTATACCATATGTGCCTATTCACACAACCCAGAGAAGGCTTCTCTACTGCTTCTCTACTGCTATCCTCTAAATTGCGTAAGACTACTTTATATAGATGTGGGATTAGATTGAAACAAAAGGCTTAGAATTTAGAAACTGGCATATAATATCAAAGGTAGCTAATTGCTAAATTATATATTATTACTTTTATTTTCCTTTCTCAAAGTAGTAAGGTGGTAAATGTTATTTGTGCTCTCAGTTGACTTTTCCTCAGTATGGACATGAACTAATCGATATGCTGAAGCAAACAGAAGCAAAGCTCATTCAGATCCTACAGTAAAATGTCTAAATCAGTGTTTTTCCAAAGTTGGCAGCTTTAAGATGTGTGGACTTCAACTCCCAGAATTCCCCAGTCAGCATGTTGTTCTGAATGAAATAAATAGTCTTTATCATGATTTATCCATAGAATATCCTGCATCTCAGCATCACTTTGTGGGGACTCAGAAGAGGTGTGTATTATTAGTTCTCTTAACCTGTTAATGTTGGGGAAAGGATTAAAATGTAGTGTGGCATGCTACAATGGCAAGTTCAAGCTTCCAGAATATCTTTCTTTCCAAGAATGTCTCCCACACAGATTTGCTTGCATTTATAAAAAGTGGAAAAACAGGGTTGGCTGTGGTTCAGTCCTCTGGTTGTACCCACTGACCCAGAAAAAATGAAAAAATAAATTAAGATGTCAAGAGAACTGGGGGTGGTGGCAAGGAGTTAGAGGTCCAGTGGAAAGCAGCCTCAATTATTTGCCTTCTGATCAGTCAGGGTGTGGGATTAGCTGACAGCCATTTTGTTCAAAATAAGAAAGGAAGAAGGAAAGAAAAGGAATCATGAAAAGAAAAACACCAAGAAAGAAAGAATAACAAAAAGAAAAAAGAAAAAAAGAAAAGAAAAGGCATTTCATTTCATATATTATGAAAGTGATTTTTATAAAATGTTAATTATATTGTATATAATGTCTTCAGCATAAGATCTATCTATCTATCTACTGGTATCTATCTATCCATCCATCCATCCATCCATCCATCCATCCATCCATCCATCCACCATCTCTCTATCGTCTATCTATCTATCATCAATCTATGTTGAAGTAACAACCTTAGATGAATTGGGAGAATGAAACATCTGCATATCACACAGAGCTAAAAGGGCAAATTTGGTTTTCATTTGCTTAAACTATCCAGCCTGAACCAATACATAATACAACATGCAGTTATCTTTTGAAATTCATTGATTTTTCCAAGTTTTTTCATGCAGCTGGACATTAGGTTTTCAACTTTTGGGTCTTCCCAGCATATGATATTTTTAATTCTTTTTTGGGGGGGGGAATTTTTTTTTATTTTTAAACAAAACTTAAAACATAAAACAATTATCATCCATTACAATTACAGAAAGTGTATTGATTGGTTACAAATCTTTTGTGCTTAGTCCTCTATCCAACATTTTCTTATTTAACAGTTTATTACATTATTATTCTCATTTACCAATTATTTAACAGTAAATTGTCCTCTATAAGGGGAAAAAAAAACCCTTTATATTTTTTATTATCTTATCCATTTCATATTTCATATTTCATTTCCATTCTTTCTTGTCTAACCATTGATAAAATAAATCCGATATCAGATAATATTGAGAATATTGAGAATAGAATGTACAAGAATAAATCGGATAAATGTTGGAAGTGTCATCAGACTCCGGGCTCATATTACCATATGTGGTGGACATGTGCAGAAACTAAAAGATATTGGACTAAAATCCACAAATGGTTGGAAAAAATGACAAAGAAACATATTGACTTTAAAGCAGAGATATTTTTATTGGGGATTTTACCAGAAATAGACAATAGAGAAATGAGATATTTAATTGTGAATGTTTTAACGGCGGCTAGAATTGTATTTGCTAGAAACTGGAAAGGTGAGAAGATACCCATGGATGACGACGTTATCAAGAAAATTTTGGAGTGTGCTGAAATGAGTAAATTGACATTTGAAATTAGGGAACAAGATGATATTTTTAATTCTTATACTCTTGGTTTATTCCTCAGTTTATACAGCTTCTCTTAGGAAAACTTCATTTTAGAGAGTTGTAGAATTTCTTTTGAAGTTGTTTTAGAATTCATTTCATTGTACTTTATTGTATCATGTTTGGGGAGAATATTCCTGAGGATTTCATTTCCTGTTTGGTATCTCTTAATATTTTTCAACCTCTCTGGCTGTTCCTGTTTTATGATCAGGGAAAACTCTATGAGAAGACTTTCCCTTATTTGAGCAGCCACAGTGGTGTCTGCAGGGGTTGACACCACAAGCTGGCAAGGTTGCAACCAGTGAACTAATCATTGCATGATGCAAGACAGCACATTCACGCACAACTTTTGCGCTACCTCGTAATTACATTGCACTTGGGAGCTACACTTGGGAATTTAATTGAATTGTTCTGCTGGGAAAAACACAAATGGAAAGCAAATTATATGCACTGCCCTGAGTGGAAATGTTTGAAATGAATGAAAGGCAGAATAAATGGCTAAAACAAATATAAATGCAGAATAAATTTTTGGCATAGCACTAACACAAAGGCTGAAGTTAGTTGTTCCTGGTAATAGCAATAGCACTTAGACTTATATACCGCTTCACAGTGCTTTGCAGCCCTCTCTAAGCTGTTTACAGAGTCAGAATATTGCTCCGAACAATCTAGCTCCTCATTTTACTGACCTTGGAAGGATGGAAGGCTGAGTCAACCATAAGCCTGGTGAGATTCAAACTGCAGAACTGCTGGCAATCAGCAGTCAGCAGAAGTAGCGTGCAGTACTGCATTCTAACCACTGTGCCACCATGGCTCATAATTCACTACCCATGAAGACTGAGGTCTGAAGATTCATGCTTCCTAGGACAGGGGTCTGCAACCTTAAACACTCAAAGAGCCATTTGGACCCGTTTCCCACAGAAAAGAAAACACCGGGTGCCACAAAACCCTTCCTGTGCCTGACTATTTCTTGAGTGGCCACAAAACTGGCATATGTAATTGAATTAAATGTTCTGTTTTCTTCTGAAACTTTTCTTTTCTTGGATTTATCCACGGTTGGCCTACCGAGCGGTTGAAAAGCTCAATAAATCACGTGCCAGCAGGTGTCGTACATTGGCAGTTGTGACGCATATTTTGAGTGACAGGGAGCCGCAGCAGAGGGGCGAAAGAGCCACATGTGGCTCTAGAGCCACACGTTGCTGACCCCTGTCCTAGAAGCTTACTGTGATAAACTACAAGCTCAGCCAACTTCTGTTATTGAGATTTAAATAGTGAATTTTTGGAACCTGACATCAATGAGGATTTACCATCAGTCATCAAGAATAAGAGAAGAAAGAAGGACCTTGGAAGACAAAAGAGTCTCTTCTTTATTAAAAGCCAGTCTCCTAATTACTGAAAAGTGGAACTGTTCTAATAGGCGAATGCGAAGCAAATGCAAACTCGCCATGAATTTATATATTTAACTCACCCAAGCAAAATAATTATTCTTTTTAATCAAGTCTATTCAAACCTCATATTACTTTATTCTTCCATTTCAATAGCAAAATGATTAAGATTGAATCTTAAAGGAATTCTTCACAACAATAATTCCTCTTATCGCAGGAGGCAGTCTTTGCTTCGTCTTGCAAATTCTTAGTCTTTAAATATTCAATGTATCAGAAAAGCTCCATTCCTCTTTCAGAAAAAAATAAGAGAGTACACACTAGAGAAAATTGAGAAAAAGGAGAAAAAAAAGGCCCATTATTATCCGCAACAAATTCATAGGGGGAAAATCCCCAGCATCTCTAACTCCATGTAAATTTAGCTACTGCTAAAAAATGTCAGTCTTCTGACAGTAACAGTCCAAAGGGAAATAAAAAAAAAGACATTTTGGAAGATACATGCATCTTGGTTCAAGTATAGAAGATATATGTTTAAAATATGTTGCTTTTTTGTGGTTCACCTTCAGTATATAGTGGGAAGTTAAAAAAAAAGTAGCATACATATGTATATGTTGCCCAAAATGCATTCATCAGGTTTTTCAGCAACATAACAGGATAATAAACAGGTATGATAAAGATTGTTTCCATCCCCTTTATATTAACTATGCTTTATGTCACATGACCAGGAGGGACTTAGAAGGAAGGTGTCAGCAATATTGCTAGTTGCTGACCAACTGCCTCTCCCGCAGTGATTTTTTTCTGGGTTTTTCCCCTCACAATCCCTGGCCTGATTTGGTCCATCTTCACTAACAATTCTTCTTATGCCAGCTGTTTCCCCAGTACCACGTTTGGTTCAGTTCTATTTTCAGAGCGTTATACTGCTGAACGATAGACAAATGGATAGGTACTAGTCTGGGCTCCTCTATTTTATTTCTTTCCAACAATCAATAAACAGTAAAAGTTCTGAGTATCGTTGAAACTTCCTTAAATGCAGGATATTTGCTTTGCGTAATATAAGGAAAGCATAAAGAAATATGTTTAAATCCAGGAAATGGTGTGCATCAGTGGTGGGTTTCTACCAGTTCACCCCGGTTCAAGCAAACCGGTAGTGTTGGTGGCAGGAGGCTCCGGCAGGGGTGAAATCCAGCAGGTTCTGACAGGTTCTAGATAACTGGTAGCAGAAATTTTGAGCAGTTCAGAGAACCGGTAGCGGAAATTTTGAGTAGTTTGGAGAACCGGCAAATACCACCTCTGGCTGCCCCCAGAGTGGGGTGGGAATGAAGATTTTGCAATATCCTTTCCCCAGGAGTGGGGAAGGAATGGGGATTTTGCAGTATCCTTCCCCTGGAGTGGGTTGGGAATGGAGATTTTGCAGTATCCTTTCCCTGCCACGCCTACCAAGCCACGCCCACAGAACCGGTAGTAAAAAAATTTGGATTTCACCCCTGGACTCTGTCCACCTGCCCCGATGTCATCACGGATGCTCTACGCATGTGTACACGAGCGAAGCAAGTGCGCGCTCACAGTTCCGAACCGGTAGCAAAGATAAGTGAAACCCACTACTGGTGTGCATGTCTGTGTATTTGTGTTTGTGTGTGGGGTGGGGTATAAAACCCTTGCAAAGTTTTGATTTTTAATAACTTTAATAACGTTGCTTCTATATATAATATAAACCATGTAACAGAGAGGGAATTTATGATTTAGTATATTTATTTATAGGAATGATACATTTTGACAATTCAATTATTACTTTGAATGCAAAGCATAGCACGATTCTGAAGTTCTCCAAACACATTCTACAATTGTGTTTGACTTACAGCATTGATTACATTTGTTATTCTAGCTTTTTAATCTGGTAACCAGGTTATTTAAATCTTGACTAAAGTCCGTCTCTGTTGCATTTTTCAGATTGTTTAAATCATATAAAGAGATGAATATATTAAAATGAAAGTTGCACAATATCTTTATACAATGGAATTCTTCATTAAGCAGGGCCTTGTGGCATTTATTCTCCCAGTAGAGGCCACCAGATTTCTCTATGTTGTCCTTTTAGAAAACAATTCAAAGTATTTACATTCCACTGATTTTTGAGGATGGCTTTGAAAGCTATGGTGTGTTTACTATCTGCTATCTTTATTTTTGTTGTGGAATGATATTTTGGCTACTTTTATTGCCAGTTCAAAGACAGTTTGCTAATCAGTGACAATGTTTTTACAGAAATTGTAGGTTGAGGTGTTATGTTCAGAGTTGCTCTTTGACCTAAATGGCAGACATACTTTCATTTACTAAGGGGTTTTTTCCCCCCAAAGAAGAGGGAGTAACCAAAAAGGTATGGATGAAGACCGGAACATTTAAAATACTGAAATAATATTAAATTAATTATATACTTGCCAAATTAAGCCCAAACTACTACAACTGTATTTACCAATTGCTTGGATTGCTACATGTAACACGATATAAGTGAAGTTTATTAATCTAATCTATATTTTCTGTGTAATACGAGAAAAGCAGTATCTGAAAACCTAAAGCCATAACAGTGGATAAAGCAATTGAAGTCAATAGCAATCTGCTCCTGACTGTGGCATAAACTATGATTGTGACTTGGAATCTTAAGAGGAATAAAGAATAAAAAGCACGACTAAATAAATGAAATGAAAACTATTAGAGCTGTTGTGTGTCTGTGAAACAAAAGGCAAGGGGGTAACAAATCTGAATTAAGGTCATCTGAACTTGTGGGGCAGAGTTAATGAATATACATAGAAAGGTAAAAGTGTGGGCTTCATTATAAAAGACAGGGCTAAAGCTAAATGTAAGAAAGTATTTTTTTTAAAAAAACATAATTTATAATGAAAGAATGCAACCCCAGATTTACAATCTGATATGCTTGCTATTTACCTGTAAAGTAGCTCTCTATTAACATAGTTAACCAGTAATATTTCCTGTGATCAAGATTTAATTTTATGTTTTAAAAATGTGCTAGTCTCTAGAATTATTATAACGTCTTTGTGCTTTTTTCATTCCTTTTTTTCCTTTTTCCGATGACTTTTGTTTTGCTTTTTTCTATGACCGTTTTCTTTAAATGCGCATTTTGAAACAAAAAATAAAAAAGGAAGGATGAATTGCAGTCATCTAGGTTGCTATGGGTGCAAATGAAAGCAGAAATCAGTGCTTTAATGACAGCTGCATATATGCTCCAGTGAATGATGATAATGGAAGAATCAGAGATGAGTTTTTGGGGAAAATGTGCAATATGCTGAATGAAGGCAATCCAGAGGGGGGAAAATATTCATGTTAGGTGACATGAATGGATGGGTAGAAATAAGAGACTCCAAAAAAGTGATTGAACCATACAAAGACTCAAGAATAGTAAGAATCAACTCAGAAATTCTGTTCTGAATAAGTGGTTTAATTCTATCTCTAGTCATTCATCCTCATGGAAAAGAAGTGAAGATAAATCTAAAACAGTCTATAAATTTGTATAGACTGAAATATTAAAGGGATTAGTGAAGGATACAGTGGTAGCGTTTGTTCCAAATGTCAAACAAATCAATGTGGCTTTGATAGTGTGAACAATATATCCTAGGAAAAATAAACATGAAAGAAAAGGAAAGAAGTAAATATAGGTAGCCTTTGACTTACAATCACAACTGAACCCAAAATTTCTGTTGCTAAGCAAGACAGATGTTAAATGCACTTTGCCCCATTCTTGCCATGGTTGTTAAGTGAATCACTGCAGTTGTTAAGTTAGTAACATGGTTATTTTGCTTGTCAGAAGATCTCAAAAGGTGATCCCATAATCCTGAGACACATAGATGTGTCATAAATACTTTAATCACATGACCATGGGGATGTTGTAATGGTCGTAAGTGTGAAAAATGGTCATAAGCCACTTTTTTTTCCAATGCCATTGTAACTTCTAACAGTTACTAAATGAACTATTGTAAGTTAAGGACGACCTGTAAAATGAAAGAGTAACAATAGAATAGTTGCAGGAGGAAAAATGGAAAGTTCTGAATGAATATTACAAGAAAGATTAACCTCCCAACAAAAGGAATGGAAAATAGATACGAGAAAACAGGGTGGGAAACAATAGAATTTAAAAAAAAATATTACAGAGAGTCTCAGAAATGTATGGAGTTGCAGTAATGAGAAGAATGAAAAAGGATGCTTGACAGTATAATGAAGTCAAAGGAACTGTGAATTAGAAAAACATGTGAGAGAATGATTCCTAGAAAAAAATATAAATAGCAATAGCAATAGCATTTAGACTTATATACCACTTCACGGTGCTTTAAAGCCCTTTCTAAGCAGTTTTACAGAGTCAGCATATTGTCCCCAACAATCTGAGTCCATATTTTATCCACCTTGGAAGGATGGAAGGCTGAGTCAACCTTGACTCATCTAAGAGGAAAATGTTGTATAATGGGCTGAGAAAGAAATAGTTGTGAAGAATGTAGCCAAAGGGAGGACAGAATTGTTAAGATTAAAAGAGAAGAGAAATTGCTGAATAAATTAAATGGAACCAGGAGCTCAAGTTTATTGAATGGAATTTAGAATAAAAGTGAAATGGTGAAATGATTTCTGTTGAAACTGGAGGGAGGGAAACATGGAAGTGCTATGTAAAACAGTTGTATGGAAAGGATAGTTATATATCAAATAATAGAACTGAAACGAATGTCTATGGAGATTCTCAGTCATATGGGCGATGGTTGTCCTGAAGATGCTTTTTCAAAAGGCAACTGGACTTCGTTTTTCCTTGAAGAAATTTCACTTCTCATCCAAGAAGTTTCTTCAATTCTGACTGACAATTTTTTTTTGAAGAAGCTTCTTGGATGAATGTTTGATGAAAGATGCAAAACATCTTCAAGGAAAAACAAAAGTCCAGTTGCCTTTTGAAAAAGCACCTTTAGGACAATTGAAATGAGTGATACAAATGACTCTGTCTCCAAAACACTGGAAAAAAGAAAGGAGTAAATGGTGTAAACATTTTGATTTTTTTTTTTTGAACTGTAGGTGTGGATGGTGTAACAAGAAATATGAATGTGGTTTGCTTATGTAGTGGTAGTATGCCTGGTAATATGTGTTCATACCTGATGATAAGAAGAATGCCATCACTGTTCCAGTATACAAAGGAAAGGTAGCACAATTGAATGAGCAAACTATCAGATTAGTTGTTAAGTGTGCCTAAGAAAGTGCTTGGCAGAATTGTAACTGAAAAGAGTACAAGAGATGACAATGAGCACAATTTATGTGCAATGTGATTTCATGCCATGCAGGGGTGTGTGCAGGCTAGATATTTGCTCTTCAGCTGGCCACTGAGAAATATCAGAATGTGAGAAAGTTTGCTGTATATTTGTTGATTCAGAGAAAACATATGCCAAAATGAAAGGGTTGAATTATTGGATGTGTGGCAGAAATGCGAAATTGGAGGTTGGTTGCTGACTGCAATAATGTCTCTATTGTGAGAAATGAAATTTGGCCAACAGAAGTGAAAATAACTGTTTGTAAGAGAATGGGTCTGACCACTTTGTTATATGGACTCGAGAATTGGGTATGTCAGGAGAAGCATGATAGGAAGCTGAATATGGTAGGAATACAGTACTTAAAAAGAGTATGGATGAAATAAAAAGAGAGGATTAAGAATACATGGATGCTATATGAATGTGGACTAAATATTAAAAGTGAGTGACCAGTACTGAAGAAATAAATGAAGATGTTTTAGTCATTCAGGGAGATAAAATGTTACTGAATTGCAGAACAAATAGATAAAGAATAAAATAGAAGTCATTCTTGCTTAGACACCACTTGTGCAGCGACTATTCGAAGTTACAATCATGCTGAAGAAGGAGACTAATGGCTGGTCCTTGAAGTTGCAGCTACTGTAGCATCCCTACAACTATGAGCCATGGTGGCGCAGTGATTAGAATGCAATACTGCAGGCTACCTTACTGCTCGATTTGATGAGTTCGATTCTGGCTGCCTCAAGGTTGACTCAGCCTTCCATCCTTCTGAGCTTGGTAAAATGAGGACCCAGATTGTTGGAGGCAATATGCTGACTCTGTAAAATTGTTTAGAGAGGACTGTAAAGCATTGTGAAGCCGTATATAAGTCTAAGTGCTATTGCTGTGTGATTGTGATTCAGATGATTGGTAACTGGTGCACAATTACACTGGTTGCAGTTTGCCTCAGTCACATAATTGCCATTTTGTAGCAATTTTGCCTTGACTAACAGCTTCCAAAAGCAAAGGGAAAGGAGAAACTTGGCAGGAAGGGCAAGTCATGGTCATGTAAAATTACACTTAATGACCATATATGATTTGCTTAACAACTACGACTGGAACTACCGGAACTGCCAACATAAGTTGGCACAATCATGTGATTATTTGCTTCATGACCATGTTGCTTAGTGATGGAGTTCCTTGTCCCAATTATATTAATAGGAGAGGGAAAGCCAAGGTAGATGTCTATGAAAACCTCCAAAGGAAAAAAGTGGAAGTTGCTAAAGCAAAATGTAAGAACAAATGTGTTGATGTATTAGAATCAAGATGGCTTGTATGGGGTAGAAAAGTATAGAGGAATGCAACAAATGATTTTCTTATAAACTACATTTAGCTATATTTCCTTTCCTTGTTCTTTTAATTCTTATTCTTTTAATTTCTCTTTGACTGATTATTTCTTACTTACTGAGATTTCACTGAGGGAATAGCAAAAGGGAATAGTAGAATTGTATCTATATAGGATATGGATATAATTCAATATGATCATTTCCCATGCTTAAAAGGATTTCCAATGTATTTGTCACTTTAAAATTATATTTTGGCAGCAATTTTTGGAAAGTTCTGGAGGCACCACCTAACCATGGGCTTTTGTGGGATTGTAGATTGTGGAAGAATATAAAACAAAATCATGTATTTGGAAGAGTTACTGGACTCTGGTACTGACAAATAGATTCTGTAGTTATTATTGAATGTATGTATGTATGTATGTGTGTGTGTGTATGTATGTATGTATGTGTATGTGTATGTGTATGTGTATGTGTGTGTGTCTCAGGGTTCCAACCAGGGGTGAAATGCTCCCGGTTCGGACTGGATTGCCTGATCCGGTAGCGATGGAGGCGGGTGGTTCAGAGAACCGGTAGCAAAAATCCCTGCCCCCCCTCATGCCCAACTGAGCCACACAATCATCAGAGGCTTTTTTTTCTTTTAAAAACATTTTTTCTACTGCCTCTTTGGCCGAAAAAATGCTTTTAAAAGTAAAAAAAAAGCCTCTGATGATCGTGCAGCTCAGCTGGGATCATCAAAGGCTTTTAAAAGAAAAAAACCCCTTTTTTTCTTTTAAATGCCTCTGACGATCCAAGCTGAGTTGCCTGATCATCAGAGGCATTTAAAAGAAAAAAAGTCTCTGCCGATCAGGCAACTCAGCTGGGATCATCAGAGCCTTTTGAAAGCATTTTTTTACAACCTCTTGCTGAAGAGGTTGTAGAAAAAATGGTTTTAAAAGTAAAAAAAAAAAATGGCCATGCCCACCCAGTCACATTACCCCACCACCACCAAGCCATGCCCACAGAACCAGTAGTAACAAATTTTAGATTTCACCACTGGTTCCAACCGATGCCTTAATTAAATCATGAGCCTCAAGCCAAAAGAAATCCAGTTATTTATTAGGAGCTTCATGTCAGCATGGACCAAGTGAAGCCAACTCTGACCTCACTTAATTCATGCCCCGGCTCTGACCCTGTTTCCCCCTCTCCCCAAGGTATGTCATCAATCACATTCTCCAATGAAGCAATTTCATGGGTTATAGAGGTCCTTCCCTCCGGCCACTGTGGGTCTGCATGGATATGACCTTGACGTGGCCGGCTGGAATGTGCTTTGTTTTGACTGAAGTGCAAGTTCCTCAATGCAGCTGTGATGTTCGATTCCCCATCCCCCTGCCTATGGCAACTCGAGAGCAGGTCAGGAATGCTTCGCGAGTTGACAATATGTTGACCATATGTACCATATGCATGTATGTATCAGAGGTGGGTTTCAGCAGGTTCTGACCAGTTCTGGAGAACCGGTAGCGGAAATTTTGAATAATTCCGAGAACCAGAAGAAAAAATTCTGACTGGCCCCACCCCCATCTATTCTCTGCCTCCCAAGTCCCAGCTGATGAGGAGGAAATGGGGATTTTGCAGTAACCTTCCCCTGGATTGGGGAGGGAATGGAGATTTTACAGTATCCTGCCACGTCCACCAGGCCATGTCCACCAAGCCATGCCATGCCACGCCCACCAAGCCACACCCACAGAACCAGTAGTAAAAAAAAATTGAAACCCACCACTGGTATGTATGTATGCATGTGTGTGTGTGTGTGTGTGTGTGCGCGCGCGTGTGTGTGCGCGCGCGTGTGTGTGTGCATTTTGCTGCTTTTTTGTATAGTAATTTTTGTACAGATCAGTCAAAATACAGTTCATTAGCACTGAACAATAGCATCACTAAAAAATAATTACAACTCACAACAACAACAAAAAAATGCCCACGAATGCATAGATAACAGGCATCTAAGTAAAATCATTTTTTTCTTGGGGCAATATTATATCACTACCTCCTAAGTGAACAGGCTTGTTTTTTGATTTTCTAAATGTTGACATCATGAAGGCCACCTGCATTTCTTTCAAGAAAGAATATATAATCAGAGCAACTTTCCAACTCCAAGGTAGGCATCATGTTCCCAAAGTAGGAGTCATTCTTTTTCTTAGTGCTTTGTTAACTGCAACAACAAAAAAAAAAATGTGCAACTCTAGATAACGGATTTATCCTTTAGGCGTCTTGTTTACATGACATTTTCTTTCTAGGTCAAGGGTGCACCACAAAGTCTTTGATATGGTTACAGAGGCTCTCACGAAAATTATCAATTAGCTGAATGTTTTTAACTGCAGAGAGGGGATTACTAAACAATTGAACAAGGAATAATTATTTGATTAGAATTACATTTAAGTATTGATTAAATAAAATTTAGCTTTTGTTCTGGTACTTCTTATTTCCTTCTCTTTACATCTACTTTGAGAGTGATTCCCAGCCTGCTGTTCAAACTCTAAGTGTAGCTTTTAGTTTCCTTAAATAGTGTGTTCCTAAGTAGTTTTGGAAAAGAATTTTAAAAGAATTAATCTTCCAGAATAGCTTTTTGTTTTTCCTCCTAAACTGCCCAGAATTCAGTTAAATCCCTTCTTTATCTTTCTTGGAACTCTGCATACAAATTAATTGATTATATACCATCAAGTCATTTTTAATTTCTGGCAACCACATATAGATTTTTTTTCATAACTATCTTTCCCTAACTCTGGTCTTTCAAGTCTTTCAATGGCCTATAAATAAATAAATGCCTTTTTTATATCCTGGATTTGAGTGAAGATGCAGCTACTAGTTGTTTTAGTAAATAATCTGATTGGATTGCATGCAACCACTGACTGAATCAGTTCACATATCGGTAGTAATTCCATTTCTGTATTACATGTGGTGAATCTTCTTTCTTTCTGGATCAAAACAGGTTACAATTCATCCCTTGCAAATAGTATGGGAAGAGCAAACCGGAACTGGTCTTTATGATTTCAAGATACCCAGAAACCACTGTGAAATAACTTTTTATGTTTTCTACTCCTAAAAGCAATGCAGAGATACCTCTTACACGCCACCATCCTATAGTGGGCTGAAATTTCTCTATTCATTCTCCATTAAACATTCATCAATTTAGACTCTGGATTGTTCACTAATGCCAGGCTGAATCAGGCCATTTATATTTATACAATGAGCCTTGGCGGCACAGTGGTTAGAATGCAGTACTGCAGGCTACTTCTGCTGCCTGCCAGCTGCCTGCAATTTGGCAGTTCGAATCTCACCAGGCTCAAGATTGACTCAGGCTTCCATCCTTCCGAGGTGGGTAAAATGAGGACCCAGATTGTTGGGGGCAATATGCTGACTCTGTAAACCGCTTAGAGAGGGCTGTAAAAGCACTGTGAAGCTGTATATAAGTCTAAGTGCTATTGCTATTTTTATTGGATGGGAGAAAAGGGATTTTACAGAGAGTCCAGAAGGTTGGGGAAGAGGATCTCGTCTTATTCTGTTAGTGGCCAATAGGTCTACTTTCTCTGTTGCTTTTCTTTTAAACATGCCAATGCAGTGGCAGCACAAGGGCTTTCATTCTTTACTTTTTTCTTGATTAGAAAGCTCATCTGAATGATAAGTCAATGAACAACGTGCTTAGAGTTCTTTTTAAAGGGAAAAGAGAGTACAGTAGCTATGTACAGTATATCATGATATGCCTTTTCTCCCTCCTGAATGGAATTTGTCCTACCTTCTGCTTCAGTTTTACCTTACCTTTCACAAATGGAGCAAATTCAGTGATGAAGTGATTGAAGTGATTCAATATCATCTGGATCCCAATACATTCTCCATTGGGATCTATGGAAAATCTGAAGAGATTGTCCTAATTCTCTGTAACTTCAAGGCCTGTCAAAGTGAGTTTGTAGGAACAGTGACTAGATCAGAGAATCTCATAAGTATTTATCCAAAGGAATCGTCTTTATTATATAACTTCCTAATTATTGTCCTTGAGTGCTATTGAATAAACCATGAATAATATAGAAGAAAGCAGAAGTTTACAGATCTGAGAATTTAATTTAATAAGCAAATCATTTCTGGAAGATAATTCTGTTCATAATGTGATGCTATAAAAAAGTTGTTTTCAAACTGAAGTAAGGTTAAATATACGAAGAACATTTTACTTTGTCTGATATAACAATGATTAGAATAAATTTGCAGCAGCATACACAATGGAAAAAATGAGAGGGAGTAGTTTCCATTATTGTGAAGGATTAATAGATAGATAGCAATATAAAATGCATGCGGCAAAATTCTTATTGGATAATCTTAATAGAATTGATGCACATACACATTAGAGAGAGAAGTAAGTCAGAATGAACATAGACCTCTTCAGAGTAAATCTGCTCTGCAAAGCCAAGTACAGTGCTATGAAATCTAAAATTAAAATTGAGGATTAGAAATTAATTCATAGCAAGTACTGATTTCAGATATACTTAGTAAGAAGTGATCTTTGTTTCCTTGCCATTATTTAGTTATCATTATTAGCAGATCTACTTTGCAGACTTAAATCAATTTAATCCTAAATGCACTTGCACATGGCTGAGGGCCTATTAGCTGTTCCAAATCCATTACAGAGAAGAATTCTCAAAGACAATTACAATTGAGGCGTTTCCTAAAATGTTGTACATATTTCATTCCTTAACAGGGCTATTTCTGGAAGCCAGTCCACCTGATTTCTTCCTGGAAACAGTAAATTGTTAAGCAAGCAGAAGCCCATCAATGGTTTTCCCACTAACTCTCTAAGTTTCATGGCTTTTGGTAGGAACTCATTTTCCCCAATCTAATTGGCTCTTTTGTCAGGAGGAAGTTGTGCTCTTTGTATGTGTGTCTACGTGTGTAATTTTAATAATTGAAGTGGAGTTATTTCAGATCTTCTGTTCTTGCTTCGATTTCATTTCTAAAAGTATAAAAGGCAGTGAATTCACATTGGTCCATATTCATTGCCAGAATCCATGATAGTTCAGTGGTATAAATCCAAATCCACAGAAAGCAATATAGAAGAAAAGAAGGAATCTTGGGAGACACATCTTAGTTTTCTGACAACTCTATACAATTGATGTTTTGGAGATGGTTCCATGTAAGAGAATACCAAACAGTGAAAGCTGCATTTGTGTTTGAAGTAAAAACTCAGTGGAATATAAGAATTGTGTAACAAATTTGCAATATAGTATTTTAATTAAATATAAATGGGAAGGAGTCCGGCAAGGCTGTATACTGTCGCTCTGCCTATTTAACTTATATGCAGAGCGCATCATGAGAAAGGCAGGACTAGATGAATCAAAAGTTGGAATTAAGATTGCCAGGAGAAATATCAACAACCTCAGATATGCAGATGATACCACTTTAATGGCAGAAAGTGAAGAGGAACTACAGAGCCTCTTGATGCAGATGAAGAAGGAGAGTGCAAAAATTGGCTTGAAACTCAACATTAAGAAAACTAAGATCATGGCATCCGGTCCTTTCAATTCCTGGCAAATAGATAGGGAAGAAATGGAGGTAGTGACAGATTTTATTTTCCTGGGCTCCAAGATCACCGCAGATGGGGACTGCAGCCAAGAAATTAAAAGATGTTTGCTACTGGGGAGGAAAGCTATGGCAAATCTAGACAGCATACTAAAAAGCAGAGACATCATTCTGCCAACAAAAGTGTGTATAGTCAAAGCTATGGTTTTCCCAGTTGCAATGTATGGCTGTGAAAGTTGGACCATAAGAAAGGCTGAGCAACAAAGAATTGAGGCCTTTGAACTATGCTGCTGGAGAAGACTCCTGCGAGTCCCTTGGACTGCAAGGCGATCAAACTGGTCAATCCTAGAGGAGCTCAACCCTGACTACTCTTTAGAAGGCCAGATCCTGAAGATGAAACTCAAATACTTTGGCCATCTAATGAGAAGGAAGGACTCACTGGAAAAGACTCTAATGCTGGGAAAGATTGAGGGCAAAAGAAGAAAGGGACGACAGAAAACGAGGTGGCTGGATGGAGCCACTGAAGCAGTAGGCGTGAGCTTAAATGGACTCCAGAGGATGGTAGAGGACAGGAAGGCTTGGAGAAACGTTGTCCATGTGGTCGTGATGGGTCAGACACGACTTCCCAACTAACAACAATCGATGGAAAAGTTTATAATTACTTGTAAGGGCAAGTATGTGCCACACATTTCAAATATATTTTTCATTCAACTAGGGTAGACATTTTATGTTAGTTAACGTAAGTTAACGTTAATGCTAATGATATATTTGTCATTTATTATTTTTTGTACACACATTTTTCTTACTATTGTTTGGTTGCTCTGTTTATAGTTGATATTTGTTTCATTTTTTCCTTCTTTTTTCTATTTTGTTCTTTAACTTTGGAGATAAATAAAAACTGTATTAACAAAAAAACTGTGTAGCAAATTCATATATTTTCAGTATCCATGGCTCACAAAAGTGGACATTGCATACCCATATGATTTACCAGGATTGAAATGTATAATTGAATATTAATTTTTATATGACATTTAATGAATTTAAGCCATACTACATTTATAAAGTTTTGTACTAATTTGATCTTGCAGAGCTACAACATAGTATAAGGCTGCAAAAAAAAAAAAAAAATAGAGGTTGCTTCGGAGTCAAAATTCTGTATCCAGAAGTAAATGCTACAAGACATATTTGGAAATGCTGGGAAGTAAGTAGAACATTGATCCTTATTTTGGTTATAACTTTACAATTTGAGATAATCACAGATAATTTTTAATAATATTCAAGTTTTTGCAAAATGATTGTCTAATGCAGGAAAATAATTCAGCTAATTAAAACATATTTGCATTTATAAATGCATTTACACTTACATTCAATATTAATATTGAAAGACATGTTGGATAATTCTAAACCTACCGCTTTGTTTAATATACAGTTAAATAATATTTAAAGATACATATCATTTATTTGCTACAGGGCACACATTTTTATTAGAAACTGATGGGCTCTTGAACAATAAAACCTTGTGGAGAAACAGGCCAGATTAATCACCATGCCTACTGATTCAGTGTTTAATTAAGATATAACCACATGTTCTGCTTTGCACCTGTTCGTAATTCTCAAGTCTGCATTTGATTCCATCTCTTGAGTAAACTATGAGAAAAACTGATCAATTAACAGTTCCTGACTCATATTCTCTCCCTCTATGGAACATTTATTTATGTTTTAATGTAGATATATGTTTTATGACTGTAAACCACCCAGAGTTGCCTGATGGTAAGATGGGCAGCCAATAAATGTTATTAATAAACAAATAAATAAATTTGTGAAAGTCAGATACAATGCCCAAGGTCATCTATCAAGCACCTTTATAACCTTTAAGTATATTAAACAAAGGTGCATACTTTTTATAAATACTGATAGACATAGATAATCTGGACTCAGCTATCAGAAAAGCAAATGTCCATCCTGTGGTATGCTAATGACGCAGTAAATCTCTTTGGCTAAATATTGTAAGGGGGATGATCTGGAACTAAACTATTAAAAGCCAAAATCATAGTCTTTGCTAGCAGATCAACATATTCCTGCCCTATAAATGGGAACATTGAGCCGGTCCTATGCTTTAAATATGTGAAATAATCTTCTATTTCTTTGGCTTCAGGATAGTTATGTTTCCTAGAGTATTCAGAGGAACTCTATGCATATTCCACTGTCTAAACTTCTTGTGATCTAAAGGAGGTTTCTGTAATATCCATATCCATTAAGCCATTTGAAACACAGTAATTCATACAATTCTGGTGGAGCTCAAACTATCATCACTGGACTCTATTCCAGTTCCTCTTCACGTATTATCAGCAGGCCAGTACACGCTTTATGTAGTATATAATTTTATTTTTATTTTTTTATTATTATTAGTTTGTCAAACATGTACTGGATAGCAGGTATGAATATGGACATGAACAAAGATACAAACTTAAAGTGAACTGTTCCAAACTCGTTTGCAGAAATTATGACTTCAGCAACAGAGTGGTCAATGCCTGGAATGTACTACATGACTCTGTGGTTTCATCCCAAAACCCCCAAAATTTTAACCTAAGACTGTCTACTGTTGATCTCACCCCATTCCTAGGAGGTCTGTAAGGGGCTTGTATAAGAGCACCAGCGTGCCTACCGTCCCTGTCCTAATGTTTCCTCTATTTGTATTTATTTTATGTATCCAATCCATGTTTATATTTATTACCTAATACATCCTTGACAAATAAATAAATATAAATAAAATAAATAAAGGAAATGAATACAAGTAAATGGGGACAGTAGGACAGGGATGCTTAGCATGCTGGTGCGCTTATGCATGCCCCCCTTACAGACGGACCTCTTAGGAATGGGGTGAGGTCCATGGTAGACAGTTTAAGGTTGAAGCTGTGAGGGTTTGAAGTTGTAACAACGGAGTTGGGTAGAGCATTCCAGGCGTTGACCACTCTGTTGCTGAAGTCGTATTTTCTGCAATCGAGTTTGGAGCGGTTTACCTCAAGTTTATATTGACTGTTTGCCCATGTACTATTGTGGTTGAAGCTGAAGTAGTCGCTGACAGGTAGGATGTTGTAGCAGACAATTTTGTGTACTATGCTTAGGTCCGACTGCAGGTTCTAGATTGTCCAAGCCCAAAATTTCAAGCCTGGTGGCATAAGGGATTCTATTATGAGTGGAGTACTTTTCTTGTGAAATACCTCTGGACACTCTCGATCATATTAATGTCAGATATACAATGTAGATTCCAGGCAGATGAGCTGTATTTGTTAGCAGTACAAGCTTCGCAAAATTAGGTTAACAACTCTTAATGCCTTTTTGGCAATGCTGTTACAGTGAGTTCTGGGGCTTAGATCATTTGAGATGAGTACTCCTGGGTCCTTGACAGAGGGTCATCTACGAGATTATTTCTGCCCAATTTGTATTTGGTGTTCTGATTTTTATTGCCAATGTGTAGGACAGAGCATTTGTTAGTTGAGATTTGGAGTTGCCAATTGCATGACCATTCTGACACATAGTCGAGGTTACTTTGTAGGGCAGCAGCATTGTCGGTGATATTAAATAATTTTACGTCATCAGCGAAGAGAACACAGCTGCTTATAATATGATCGCAGAGGTCATTTATGTAAAGCAGAAAGTGGTAGTTCTAAAACACTGCCTTGGGGGACACCGCTGTTGACTGGTGCCGGGTTTGATAGGGTGTTCCCTATTTTGACTACTTGTTGCCTGTTTGACAGGAATGCAGCTATCCACTTGTGCAGGGATCTGGAAATACCATAAGAGCTTAGTTTTAACAATAGTTTGTCGTGCACCACTGAATCAAAAGCTTTGCAGAAGTCTATGTAAATTGCATCTATTGCTTTACCCTGGTCAAGATGTGTGGTCCAAATGTTTCTGCAGTGTAGGAGTTGCAGATTACAAGACAAATTTTTCCTGAAACCAAATTGCTTGTTAGAAAGCAGGTTGTTTGTCTCTAAGTGGAGGGTAATGGATTGGTTTATAATTGATTCCATGACTTTACAGGTGATGCAACACAATGAGATTGGTCTGTAATTTTCTACTAAACTAGGGTGTCCCTTTTTAAAGATAAGTATGACCTTGGCTAATGACCATAGGTCAGGCAAGGAGCTGGTTCAGAAAGATACCTCATAGATTGTGATTAGAGGTTCAGCTAGGGTAGTGGTAAGCTTTTTTAGGAAGTAGGCACATAATCCATCAGGGCCAATAGATAGAGATGGCTTTAGGTTGTGTAGTGCTGTTTCAACGTTATCTACTGTAAAATCAATATGTAGTAGATCATTGCAATTGGTTGCATGACTAGGAAATGTGGGGCAGTAGCCATTGCTGTTGACAAAGAATGAACTGAAGAACATGTTGAAGAGGCTTCATCATTACAGTCTTCCCCATTAGGCCCTTTTAGGGGTGGGATAGTTTTCAAGTCTTTAAGTTTGACATTTATGAAATTATAGAAGGCTCAGGTGGATTTCGAGTGTAATAGCTGTTCCTCCTGTTTGCAGTGGTGATTGATAGATTCTGCCTTTATCTGGTGGCATAAGGCTTTGTAGTGGTTTTTAAAGTTAGCTATGTAATCAATTTTGTTTTCTCGCCAAAGAGATTTTTTTCTTGGATTGAAGCTTTCTTATTGTTATGGGTAATTTGGGGGTTTCTTTGGCTTTAGGGGTTATTAATGGTACATATAGGTTAATGACTCTATTGACTTTGAGCACAAAAATGTTATAATGGTCTTCTGCAGTTTTACAACCAGTGAACAGAAGGTGCCAATCAAGAGAAGCGAGGTCAGCGGCTATGAGAGCATAGTTGGCTTTTTTAAAGTTATAATTTGGTGTCCCATCATTATGACCCTCTTTGCAAGGACTTAAATTGAGACAATCAATCATGCTGTGGTCACCGTTGGAAAAAGGTTCTTTAACTTCTAGACCATAAATTGAATTTGCAGAATGTGAGATCTAAGCAGTTGTTGAGCCTAGTGTTGTTCGTTACCAATTGATCCAGTCCCAGAGTTGTAACAGCATTGTACAGGGTTGCATGTATAGGTTTGGTTGTACATTCGTTTAGAGTCCAATTAAGAGGTAAATTGAGGTCACCAAGAAAGATAAGGGGGCGCGGGGAGGAAGCTGCCTACATTAGTAGTGCAGTTAGCTTGTCCGTATGACCGAGGTCATAATCAGGGGCTCTGTAACATAGCAAGAAATGAACTGTGGTATTTAGGTTCGCAGACAATGGTCTCAGGAAGAGCAAGCTCCTCTGTGACATTAATTTTTTTTCAGATTTAGGGACTTTTTATAGAAGTTAGCAACACCACCCCCTCTATGGTTTTCACGGTCATACCGGAAAACGTGATAGTTACTTACTGTGGTAATGGAGTCTGGAAAGGATACATTCAACCACATCTTGCAGACAAAGATAAGACAGAATAGGGCCATATTTAGTAGCAGGAGGAATTCAGGCATTTTGTTTGCGAAGCTTCTTGCGTTAAGTAGCTTGCATTTAAGGTCTGTAGGGATGGATCTGGAGGAAGTTGGAGGTGTGCATGCCTAGTTTTGATTGTTGGGGGGGGGCAGTTGTTTGGACATGAGCCGCTGGTCTTGCATTTGATACAGTCAATGTATAGGTCAATCTTTCCTTGGTCCTGGTGTTTTTTGAGCTTTGATCAGAGCTTGCAGGCACAGGCACATTGTAGTATGGATAGGTTGGGCCGTGAACAAAGTTTCTTATGGTTTGTGCAGCTTTTGGTGAGTGAGTTTCTTGTGGAGATTAATTTGCGTTTGCTGGTTTCACTCTTGCAAACCACTCTGCAGAAACGTGGAGCCACCAAGCTCTCGCTATTCTTGAATTCAGGGCTGTCACGGGAAACGTCGATGATTTCATCAGGAGAGATGGTTGATGCCTGGAAGTTGTTGATGATGTTGAGAACCTTTGTGATGTCATTGGACTCATTGGTGTCCTCCATTCTGAATAAGATAGCGTTGGGACGTTTCTGTTCTTGTTCAATCGCGACTTTGACGGCGATGGAGATGTTACTCTCAGAGTTAGTGATTTCCTGTGGCTATGGTTGTGGGGTTGGGATGGGATATGTTAATGGACATAGAGAACTCCATTTAGGACATAGAGAAAGTTCCATATTTTCCCATCTCTGAAAACTTAAGGTATGTAGTCACATTCACTATATATCTAACTCAGTTAGAAGGATTTTAAATCTGCAGCGAGTTCCTTTAGGCTATATTAGAGAGATGTTGTAGGATGATCCCTTTCCCAGAATGTCTGTGTCCCTGTGATGCTGGGCAATGTGATACCATTAAGCAAGTCCTCCTGTCCTGCTTATTTTACAAAGATGCATTACCATTAATATCCGTTTGTTTACTATTCTTGTTTTTAGCTGTTTTTATAGTTTTTTTTTAATATTTGTTAATATCATGTTTTAGATATTGTTTTAGTTTTGTTGTACCCCACCCACAGTCGCTTGCTTGTGAGATGGACAACTTTATAAATTAGATACATAAATAGAAATAATAAAAATACTTGAAGTACATGTGTTCTCCCACTACTCACCAGTTACTAGGCCAGACATACCAATTTTAAATTTCTGTAATAACCTAAGGCATGAATTTTTGAAGAGTTGGAAAACCAGTTATTAAAATTCTTAAAGAATATTTAGAATGTTTGTTACTATCTTACACCAATGCTAATTCAGTAGAATATTTCTTAAAGATTATTGGATACCCCAGAAACTGATACATAAAAATTGGTTGTCAACTTTTTTATGCTGGAAGAGTAAAATGATGAAGGGGATACTTAGACATATGACTTGGGTTTGCTCTATCATGATCTCATTTTGATTGAATATTCATATATTTGTGAAGAAACTTTTGGAAAAAGAAAGTATAAAGTTTTGAATGTGATTTTGAAATGTATATATTTATAGAGGGAAGAGGTGGGAAGTGGAGAGAGAGTATATTTTTTTTAAATCATGGAACATAACAAAATAGTTCATTTTGTTGTGATTAAAACTCTATCTCACTTAAAGGCACTTAAGGGTTATATAAAAGTTATATGTCACTTCTTTAGGGAGAACGTTAAAACTGAGATATTCCTGATTTCTTTTAAAAGGTACCCAAAATGCCCCAACCAATTCCACTACAATGATTTATATTGTCCTCAGGGAAGCTAGAGGTTTTTGCAGTCTTCAACTTGACATCATTTAGAAAGACAGGACCAGGGGTGCTATTCAGCAGGCTCTGACAGGTTCTGGAGAACCGATAGTGGAAATTTTGAGTAGTTCAGAGAACCGGCAAATACCACCTCTGGCTAGCCCCAGAGTGGAGTGGGAATGGAGATTTTGCAGTATCCTTCCCCTATCATGCCCACCAAACTACGCCCACCAAGTGTTCTGCCCCAGCTACGGACCCCAAAGAACGCAGCACACACAAAGTCTGTACAAACCTTAGTTTACTAAATTAAACAGTTTTTTTTCAAACAAAGGCTCTTAATTAACTTTCTTAACAGCCTACAAGAATCCAAAGAATAAATAATCTTAATCTTACTATGGTTGGCAGAAAGCCCAGAAGCAATTTGCAAAAGGAGAGGCATGAAGGAGAGTGAACGAAGTTGTTCCCTGCAAATTGCTTCAGTCGGCGTTCCTCCTTAAATAGGCTAAAGGAATGGCCAATTAGCCCCAAGCCTTACTCTCGAGGAGACCTCCTCCTGAGGAGCCACTCCTGCCTTTTGGCAGCTCTGAGTGCCCGTGCATCGAGAAGAGGCTCCTCCTCTTCATCCTCTTCACCCTCTTCACTTATGGGAGCTTCTGGAGGTTCTGAAGGCCCTGGCTGAATCCCCGCCTCTGGCACCACATCTTCTCCAGAATCATTGTCTGACTCGAGTGCCAGCTGCACAGGCTGCTGGCGCAGCACCACACCAGCCTCCTCGCTGTCCGAATTGGCCACCAGCCGCACAGGCCGCGTACAGGCCACAACACCAAGCCACACCACACCCACCAAGCCACGCCCACAGAACTGGTAGTAAAAAAAATTGAATTCCACCACTGCACAGGACCCTACCCCATAAGGTAGTAGACTATGTTTTACCTGGTAATCCAAACATGTGTTCGACCATTAAGCTATGTCACTTTTTCTTTTTTTATGATTTCTCTTCAAAATGTTATGTTGCATGAAGTAGCTAAAAACAAAAGTTTAATCTCAGAACTAAGGTTGGCTTTATTGGAAGTTAAGAGATGATTTTCTATGCTAGTAATAAATTTTCCTATGTAACCGAGTGCAATCAAAAAAGGAAAAAAAAAGAATGCAGGGCAGAACACTCGATTTCCCACCCATGCTAATTGCTTTGGGAGAATTGTGCTCTCATTATAGTTATAAAATAGTCGAGTCTCCAGCAATTGCAATCAGGGTTATACAAAATGTACTAAGGATCTCCCTGTGTGCGTATGTCTGTGTATCACCATGATAGAGCATGTAAGCATTCATCACACACAGATGGCCCATGCAAATCACAAGAGCCCAAATGCAAACTCAGTATCATGTGTCTCAGATGTTGCTGACTGGATTTAGGCTCCAAACATCTGCTTGTCTGCAAGTTGCCAGAAAGGTTTATATCATGGCAAATAGTAGATGAAGAGAGTGGCTCAAAATGAGGATCAGAATTAATCCATGGGGTAATTATGTTTTTATAGATCCTCTCCATGAGAATAATCACCTGCAGTTTAGTTTATTGGATGCATTTTCTGCAAGGGTCAGAGACATTGCTGACAGACTGCCTGTTATATTGTATAATTCCATGATGACTGAGAAGAGAAATGCTGCATCAGGCCAGGACATGGAAACATCTCTTCCTCTTCAACCAGTTGATGCTCTGCCTCCTTAGTAGGGAAACCTTGGGGATTTAAGGGTTCCCTATGAGAATCCACGAGATGCAAACATACACGTTGAGAAGGAAGGAAATCAATCACTGCAGTGGTGGGCTCCTCCCGGTTCCTCCTGATTCCGCCGAGCCAGTAGCGGTGATGATATGGCGTCACCGAACCAGTTCTGCCCCCCGCCAGCCCCACCACCCCACCCACCCCCGCGTTATTCTTACCTTTTATTTGGCCCACCCCCAATCTATTGCTGCCTTCTGAGTCCCAGCTGATGGCTAGAGGGACAAAAACTGTTTAAACTCTTGCCGCGGGGCTTCAAAGGGCTGCCCTACAGTTGATCAGTGTTAAAAGAAAACAAATGAGTAGACCGGTGCCTGCAAAAATATATGAGTAGATCGGTGCCTGCAAAAATACATGAGTAGATTGGTGCCTGCAATCTACCCAAAAATAAATGGGTAGATTGGTACAACTCTGCAAGTAGTTAAAATTCTGGTAGACCAGTACCTCTGCTAAATCCTAAATAATTGTCACATGACCATCAAGCCATGCCCACAAAATAAGCCATGCCCACAGAACCGGTAGTAAAAAATTTTAGAACCCATCCCTGAATCATTGCCTTCATGAGTAATACAGTAGAAGCTCTATAGAACCTGACAATCTTATACATACCTATTCAGATTCAAGCCCCACAGATTTTAGTCATTTACTCTCAAGAAAGATTGATGGAATCTCAATGTAAGGCTAATACTCTCATCCCCAAATAAAGAGCTGAGTGCAAAAAAGGGTATATTTATGTAGAATTGCATATGCTTCTGTGTCACATTAAAATTTATAATCAGCACATCAGTCTGCCTAGAAAATAGCGACTCTATTGGCATCTAACTTTTGCACTGTTAGAAACTGCTCCAAGTGTGAGGAATCAATAGACAATAAAGAACTTTGCCCAAGGATCTAATTAAAATATTACCTAAATATAAATCTCGTGCAGTTCAAGCAAATGTTACTTATTTGTGTATGTATAAACTATGCATGACATTTATAGAATAATAACAAGCTGGTATAATGTTTCCAGTCAAAGCCATGGAAGAGATGGAAGACGATGGAAATGAGAGTAAACAGAAGATGCTATATTCAATTCTGGTAAACCTACATTAGCAAGCAGCAGAAAGCAAAGTGTACAACCTGAAAGTAAGCTGCAATAGTTGGGTTCAATGACCATTAACCCATGGTTTACTTGATCATAGTTTATTGAATGATTTTCATTTACCTCGGTTCATATGACTTTCTAATGGCAAGCCATGTTAGAAAATCATAGTGATTAGTTTCGCACAACATGCTAAGCCAAAACCAAACAAATCACCATATATGTATTAAACCCCATACCATGCAAATGCTAACAAAGTCCAAATCGGAGCCCTTTTGAAATCAGTCAAGTTAAATTAGATGAAACTTTTCTGGCCGGATGTTATATTAAATTACAAAAGCTGCCTCCTCCAACCCCACCAATAAATTTGTGCCTTTGATTGCAGAGTGGTAGGAAAGCTCCATTGTGGGCAGAGGGTTCCCTCTGAAAAGGGGCAAGCTGACAGAACTGTCAATGGGATCAATGGACCAGCTTGCCTCCTGGAGTTGTGGGTGGAGTTGTGGAGTTGTGGAATTATGGGTGTTCCATCACTGGAGGTTTTCAAAACAAGATTGGACAACCATTTGTCTGGGATGGTACAAGGAATCCTGCCTGGGATGGTACAAGGAATCCTGCCTTGGTTGGGAGGCTAGTCTAGGAGACTCTTCTACAGTAGTGGGTTTCAATTTAGTTTGCTACCGGTTCGCAAAAGCATGCGCAGAAGCATCCGGGCAGGTGGGCGAGCGAATCCAATCTGGGGTGAACCAGTAGCAACTCACCACTGTTCTTCTAGCTCTGTGATTCTATGATTCTATCCCCTGTGCCAGGGGTGGGTTCTAAATTTTTTTACTACTGGTTCTGTGGGCGTGACTTATTTTGTGGGCGTGGTTTGATGGTCATATGACAATTCTTTAGGATTTAGCAGAGGTACTGGTCTACCAGGCTTTTAACTGCTTTTAACTGCTTGCAGAGCCGTACTG